CTCGATGGCCTTCCTCGGTTTCCCTAGCTGCTAGATGTCGGTGACCAAGCTCACTGCTGGTGCCTGGGTGGACGCTAGGGCCCTGAGTCGTTGGAGGGTCCTCTCCGAGTTCGGATGCCCAGCTATCTTCCCTGGGTACAGGCACAGTGACAAGACTGCTCCGTTCCTTGCTTGGCCTTTCCTTCTCTGCTTTGGTAATAGACTAAAGCCTATTTTGCATGCTGGCCATATACTCTGGCTGTAAACATAAAAGGACGAGTATATTAATGTGTGTGCAGATCTCTAGGGAATAGTACAGAAACTGCTTTTTAAACGTTGGTGTTTTGCAAACTGCACCTTTTCTGCCACTAGTTAACTTAATTAGGGACATTTGCAAAGTTAATACTAGTTGGTAAATGATTTTAGATTTTTGGCTTCTGGGTTAGCTGGGACTACAGGCACATGACACATGTCCTGTCTGATTGTGATGGTGAGATGTAAAACATGATGCAATGTTGATATGCGATGTTGATGCCACTGAGGGTAATAACCAAACGCAGGCTAAACACTCATGGCTAATTAAGCCGCCAGCAGGCTTCTGATGCGGCTCTGATTTTCTCTGAGAAAGGACAGTCCTTTGCAGAAAAGTGGTTCTGCCTCCAAACGCTTCTGCGGTAAGCTAATAAGGAATATTCCCCATACAAGGTACAAAGCACATAGGCAGATGGCCATAGCCCTCTTTACCAGTTGACAGAAAGTGAGCCCCTGGAGCTACTTCAGGAGCACCGCTGCTGAAGGAGTGTTTACTTAGGGTGGTGTTTGGCAAGGAGGACTACCTTGCAGCTCTCCTATCTATGCTCTACCTTCTCTCCACCGAACACTTTTCCTGTCCTCGCCAACGAGGTCCTCAGAACAATTAGCAAGGGCAGCAGTATGACTGCTACGGAAAAGTCCCTAATAGTTTGCAGGCCTGGCCTCAGCAGTTTGAATGAGCCTTGTTTGGTGTTGCCTTCAGAGCATACATCGCTGCCACCTAGCGTTACTAGGAGGAAATCTATGCTTGGTGCCAGGACAGACACTTGAGTTGCGAATACTTAACTGTGGAAAGAAAATTTCCCCTTTAAACAAGCTTGGAAAGTTTCCCCTTTAAACAAGCTTGGAAACAGGCTAGGAAAAATGCCCAATGTAGAAAAACACATGCATGGCCTTATCCCAGCATTCAGCTTTACCCAGTAGGAGGAGTTCATTAGTCGCAATTTTGCAAAGGAGATTATTACAGCACAGTTATGATTCCTTTTCGGTTCTTTTTCATTCCCATAGACCTATGTTCTTTTTGCGTTTGCTTGCATCCCACCCAGATTTTCAGAAGTCTGAGGTTGGAATGACCATCTCCAACGGGGTTCAGCTGGTAGACCACGGTCAGAGGTAGGTGAGCTACCTACTGCTCTGAATGAACATTCCACTGAGGAGGCTAACTATTCTTCTTGTCATTTGATGTTTGTCTTTATTCAGCCAGATCCTCACTTCCTTCGGATATTCCCCCCCCAACAATGCTGTAAACACCACCACCCCCAATCTCTACCTTCGAGTGCAGTCTGCTGCATGGATTCTATTGAGGAGTGGGTGTTAGAAAGCAGCCACCCACCAAGAGGTGAAGCTGGAGCACCCCAAAGTGTCTCCTTTCAGAGAATGACCCAACCACAGCCATACAAGTGCACACATGCATGCATCCACACACCTTATACACACATACACAAACCTACTGTCTCTACAGTGGTTCTCTCTGGGCAGTCATGCTCTAATTCTTCAAACAACAAAAATGTAATTTTACATCATCTGTCTATCCATTTGGATGAGAAATGAAATATTCATAAACACAGCAACACATGCACTAGTACATACAAAGAAAGGTCTCATCCGACCTCTCCGGGGCCATTTTTAAGTGGGTGGTGCTTTTTCACCCAGGTCAGCTTTTTTTTTTTTTTTTTCTTTTTTGGTTTTTCGAGACAGGGTTTCTCTGGGCAGTTTTGGAGCCTATCCTGGCACTCGCTCTGGAGACCAGGCTGGCCTCGAACTCACAGAGATCTGCCTGCCTCTGCCTCTTGAGTGCTGGGATTAAAGGCATGCACACCAATGCCCGGCCCATTTCAGTTTTTGATGCTGAGTTCACAGTTTGATCTTTCCAGACCTACCCAAGTCCAGTGAAGGTTTCCTCTCCAGCATCATGTCAGGTCACAGCCAGGTGACTGAAGTTTCTTGGCAGTTAGAAGCCTTAAGAACTTCAGCTAAATTAAGCCCAGGCCCATAGATCATCATAGAGAAAAGTTACCAAAAAAAAAAAAAAACCAAAACAAACAAACAAAACATGGTCACTACTTGGGGACAAGATGTTTTCCCCAAATCCTCATTTTCTGTACTCAATTGTCATTGTTTTATGGTTAAAATGGGGCTTAAACTTAGCCTGTAATGCACAGGTCTGTTCAACAACCAAGACCACGGAAATGGATGTCACCATCGGGAAAAGATGCCCTGTGTGTGACAGACTAAAGGAGTATAATTTTATTATTGCCAATGCTTTATCAAAAGCCACATTACACACAAGTTTCAGAGAGAAGATTCTACCATAGAATTCAAATGCGGTTAGTTCTTCAGTGAAAGAAAAAAAGAATGTTTCTCAAATGTCCAGTTTTATTTTGTCATTGCTGAACAAGATCTGAAGTTAGGATCAGGATTTCCAGTCCAATCCATTTAAAAATCATACCACAGGGGTAAACCTGAAAGAAGTGAAATCTAACATTATATAGATTTTCATTTCTAGATACAGTATATTACAGAAGGTTAAATATACTACCTCCGTGTACTTACAGCTATAAAAAGATACATTAATGATACCAATTATAAATAATGTAACATTTCATATTAAAGGCATTATTGTACAATGGAGGAATAGCAACCCTCTAATGTACCATGGTGAAGGGTAGTTAGTGCCTAGAGTTATTGAGATACTGAAAGTTCAGTGTGTGAGGCCAAATCCCGATTTAACCTGTTACTGGTAGTGTAAGTGCTGAGGGGGAAAGAGGGTGAATGGAATAGTGCTTGTTTCTGTCAGGGCTGAGAGCTCCAGTTCATGCGTCTTATTCTTCATGCACACACTGGTTTTGATATGAGGCTTTGTTGTCAATCTTGCTCAGTCCAGCTTTAAACCTTAAGGGTAAGCATCACAGCCAATTGGAGGGGTGCGCGTTGCTGACAGTTAAAGGACCCAAACAACAGTCAACCCAATGGGGTTGCTTCTATTCTTAGGGCATTATGGGAATGGTTTTAGTTTTCCATGTTAAAACATAGAATTTGCATATCACATGGATACACCGACAAGGAAAAGAAAAATGTTAAAGTGTGAACGAAATATCCAAGTCACTTGGCTGGAGACCGGGTCCCCTATAAGATCCAGGTGTTATAAGTTAATCAATCAGAAATGAAAACCCAAACGGGACTTTACAACTACAAAGCGATGCAGTGACAGCTGTCTCTCAGTGGTGTGCACTTTACCAATCTGAAATGGGTAATGGAGCTGGAGAAAAGAAAAGGGAAGTGGGCGCACCCAATACTGAATGTGGTGGAAATGGGTAATTTGCAAAAGTGAATAAAGGCTCCAAGTGTCAAATGTACTGCTCGATTGCCTAGGGTTCGCTCTGCTATGGTAGTTCTTAAATGACTCGTCAGTGGCAAAGGTGACACTAAGGATGCTCTCTGACTAAGAAGGACCTTAGTTATGGCTGACCATCTCATAACTACAGGGCAAACTCTTTGGGATGCTGATTTGGTCATTACAAAGTCAGGGTTGTTTTCAAGGTGAATCCCATGGTCAGTGTCAATATGCGGCCTTCTGGGCCGGCACCCCCACAGACCAAAGACTTCTGGAGCCTTTCCTTGGCATGTGTTTCCCCTAAACTTCCCACCCTGGGTCCCTGGAGTCTTCCTTTCATGCCAACACTAATCCTTGGGTTGTGAATAGTCCCATTTCAGCCTCAGAATGAGGTTGTTCCATGCTCAGGTGACCCCCGAGGAGCCCGTGAGAACAGATCTGCTTGCAGCACATGCAGTGAGCTCTTTCACATTCCCTGGGGTCAGCAAAACATTTCAAATAACTGCGGGACACTCCAGAGACCATCTCGTATTAACAGAGCCCTGGATGTCTTTGCTGTGCCCTGCACTTAGGCTAAGGGCAAAGTCACAGCTGGATACCAGTTCCTCCCCAGGCAGGCCTGCAGTTTCACACCTAGCATCCAGCCACCCACAGTTTGGTCCCTAAAGTATGAGTGTGAGAGGAAAATCAAAACCATTAAACTCTAGTAGACCGAGTGTCCAGAAGAGAGGGTCCTGGGAAGATGGGCACTGTCACCCTGCTTTCTGCTCACGGCAAGTTGGAGTCACCACAGACAGCTGTTCAGCTTTTGAGGAAGAAACCGGTCTGTCCTTCAGGGGTTCTTGTCATCGAGTTTGATGGTGACAGTTTTCACTTCTGTATACTCAGCCAGAGCATACTCACCTCTGCAGAGACAGGAAGGGGGCAGTTCACACTGTCGGTTCATGGTTCTGGGAAAACTCTTCTAATGCCTGAGCACGCTGGTGCACAGTTTGAGTGTTTGGGTTTGTACAACAGGGCACAATGTGGTGCCTAGACATAGTAGGAGCAGTAGGCACCATGATGCCTTCAATGAGTGTCAGGAACTGGAAATGGGAGTTTAAGTTCCTGTGTGTGATGTTTTTGAAGACGTTAAAAGAACTAAGGGTTTGTTTCTGGACAATGGGAGATGAAAACAACAGAACAAATATAAGGTCAGGGAGGTGGCTGCAGAAGAGGGGTCCTTGCTGGTGAATGAGGGTGATCTGGGGTGTGAGAACTGCACTGACTATGTAAGTTTTAAGTGGTAATTTGTTACTACTTGAAGAGACAAAAATATCTATGTCTAAGTCCAAGGAGGTGGCCAGGGGGGTCATAGGGTCATCTGGCTCTGAAAGGCACAGCTGTAAGAAGAGCGGGGTCAGACTGCAGGAGAAAAGGAACAGACATCGACACAGGCTAGGCATGGGGAGGTGATGGCCCTTGGGTTAGCATCTTTGGCATATTTCCTTTCCTTAAGTCTTAGAGGGGCCTGGGATCTTTCCTAGGCATCATAGACTATCCTTGGAGCAGATCCCTTTCCCAGAACCAAGAGGCAACTTGGACGGAGAATTCCTCCTTAGTACACTCTTAACGGTTTTGGAAAATAAACCAATAGATTCTGGTTCCGGAAAAGGTAGGGGGTAGAGATGGCCTCTCCAGTCTCTCTATTAAAAGATCTGAGCCATAATTCTGTCTCATCTCTGAGACCTGCGGGTAAGTTATTCAGTCTAGCATCATCAACCTTATTTTGAATGTGTTAGAAATGCAGATTTCGGGGCTCACCCAGGACTACTGTGGCAGGTAAAACAGGGAAAGCAAAGTAGTAGATTGAGTCCACATCCTACCCCCCTGTCCTGGTGCACATGCTAGGTTACACAGCAAGGGAGAATAGATGCTGGAGATGGAATGCTCATGACTAATCAGCTGACTTCAAAATAGAGAATTTTCTGGGTCATTTGGGTAGCCCAGTGGTCCTTAAGAATTGAAGACAAGACCCAAAAAAGTGTCACCAGGCTGGTTGTGAAGATGACTGTATGAACCAAGTATGAGGTGAGCCTCTAGGGGCTGGGAAAGGCTAGAAAACTCAGTCCTCGCAAGCCTCCGGCCTAGCAGACACCTTGATCTAAGTTCGGAGAGAGCTGCACCTATTCTATAGAGCTTGTAGTCCCATGTTTGTGCCATCTAAGACACTGAGTTTTCAGTATCATTAGAAAAGCAACTTATTTATGGGATCATAAATTTCCTCGGTGGAGTCAGGAAGTTTGTATTCAGTAAGTTCTCTGGGTGATAATGCTGCCTGCTTGAGTATAAAAGAGCAATAGGGCTTAGGACTGTGTAGATGAGTCAAGTTGATTGAAATCCCTGAGGTTGTTTCAACTGTACTGTGGGAACACCACCACTCCTGTCCAGTTACATCAACTAGAGAGAAGTCACATGGGCCACTCTGTGCTGAATGGGCAATGCCACCGTTAAGGTGTGTTGTTTTCATCAATGCATTGAATGTTCTTATAAAGCAACAGGGAAAACACAATCAAGTGGGAAAATTCTACAAAGGACATACTGCAGAAAAAGATGTGCAAATTCCAACAAGTGTGAAAGGGACACTAGATGTCTCACACATAAAGACATGCGAAATCACACAGAGACACTTTAATGTAGCTGAGCACTGATTTCTAGGAATTCATTCTGAAGACCACCACACTAAATGCATTAATATTTATATACAAGGAAGCTTATAAACAGGGTTTGTAATAATAATAATAATAATGCTGAGGCCCTGTGGAAATAATATTAGTACCCATTCTAGGTGGCTTTCACTAAAAGACTGGGGGATATCCAAAACCTGTCTTCGAGGGCAAAAAGTAGCTTGCTTCCACATCAGTAAACAGCAAAGAATGAGTGGATTTATGCATAGCCACAGAAAATGCACTATAAACTTTCAAAATGAGCAAATATTGTTTTGCAAAAATTCTAAGTGTTAGTGGTTTATCGATCCCATAGTAAAGAAAAGGGATTAAAACCTTCCTGAATTAGTTCTTGTTGAACAAGCTCAGAAGTGTCAGCATTCTTTCAGGAAACAGCCTGTAGATTCCTCATTCTTCTTTCTATTTCCTCATCTGTTGTTCTGGTTCAAGTTCCTGCTGTCCTCATTCAACCCCTCACCCAGTCTTTTCTACCTCAGCAACCAAGGCCATTTGGGAGCTCGGCCTTCCTCCTAATAAACCTCCCTAGAATATCAATGGTGACAAGGATTGATAGTAGTTCCCAGCACCAAGCTTGGAGTAGTCAAGATACTCAGCAAGAGGCAAATTGCCAAGAGATCAAGGCTCACGTCCTCTGTGAAAGTGTATGGCTACTCTCACCTCATGCCCACAGGGTCTGCTGTGGATGTGCCCCTGAACAAACTGTTGTCAGCAAGGATGTCTTTAGAGACCCAGCCGGAGGCCCAAGGCTGGGTGGGAGGCCAAGGTCAAGTTTGAAGAGCAACACAAGACAGGCCAGACCAAGTGCTTTTTCCAGAAGCTTTGGTTTTGGGTTTATATTTGTTTCTACTATTAAATTTTTAAAAATATTTTTAAATTTAAATTTACTTTTTTTAATTTAGAAAAACAAAACCAAAAACAAATATTTGCCATGTGAACCCATGATTGAATGAATGAAATGAGTTCCTTTAACAAGTGGGATTAAAGATCAGAGAGTAAAGCCTGACCTTGCCCCATCTCTGTTGTATGAGTTTCTGTTGCCTGTCTTGGATGCCTTACTTATACTGCAAAGCAAAGAACCAGGAAGCAATTCACCAAGAGGAACAGACTCTTCAGGCTCCATGAAAGATCAGCCCAGAAACACATCCTGGAGGGGCTGGCGTGTGTACAGCCAGTAACCAGCCCAGCCCCAGTGACCAGTTTGGGGAAAACCATGGAATCCACCTTGTGGTACTCCAGCATAGAAAAGGGGAACTTGTTGCAACAAGGAAACATTAATCTGAAACAACTGAAAATAGAAATAATTTTTCAAGGCAGTTTCCAGGCACCTTATGAATGATTTAAAAATATTTCACCAAAAAAAAAAAGCTTTGGGAAAATATATGCCAAAGATCCAAAAACAAAACAAATAATAATAATTTAAAAAACCCAGACATTCAAGAAAGTCCCCAGCACAGCTGTCTGGATGAAACATGACCAAGGTCTGTGAGCTTAGCAGGTCAGTCTGTAGCAGGCATAGGGACCATGGACCCCGCCCAGAGAAATGAGTGGCCCAGGTAAGAAAGCTAAGCAGTGCATCCTCAGTGGTTGTAGGGAAGGCCAGGCAGGAGGCCTCCCCTCTGCCCTTCCAGTGACTGTCACTTAAGGGACTGGGGTGCTTGCTGCCTTCCAGGCTCTAGAAGGAAGGCTATGAGGGGTTTATGTTCCTTAGTCTCCACAACCCGCCTGGCTGAAGACAGAGGACCAGAGGCGACAAGTGACCACATGAGCTCTGGTGGCTTCATCTGAAGTGACTTACAAAGATGACTCCTAGGGCAGGGGTTAGCTCAGTGGTAGAGAACTTGCCTCATATGACATAAGTTCAATCCCCAGTACTGCAAAAACAAAACCAAATCTTCCCCAGACAAAATTCAAAACACCACAAGGCACGGGTGGCCTCTGCCCAGCAAGTCCTGGGCTATTGGAAGCCCGAGGCCAGGGTGCCAGTGTTATTCTTAATTCTTGTCCTTTTGATTGTGAGCTGGCTGAGCCATCTCTTCATCCCTTATGACCACTAGCTTCTTGGGTCTATCTCGTCCCCTGAAAACTGTTATCCCCTCTCACGACTGTCTCCACAAGAACATAAATGACTGTGCAGGGGTTCTCATGAAACCTTCTAGGGTCTATGCTCAGCAAATGACAGTTGTCACCAGCATTGTTACTATTGGAGGAGCCTGGAAGGGACCCTAGCTCTGACCTCCCATCCTCAGCTGGAAGACTCCTCTCATAGGCCATGAAGTGGAGGCTCCAAGACAGCAAAGTCAACAGGCTGCCGACTGAGCATCAGTCATAGGACCAAGGAGGGGACCAAAGGACACTCTGTGGTTTTTGCTCGTGTGTGCAGATCACTCCTGAGCATCTGTCATCTGTCATAAATAAAGGATTGTCTGAACAGAGCTGAGGTGGAGAAAGAGCCCAACTCCATGTAGACCAGTCAAGAGCCAGTGGAAGCCAGCCCCTCCCCCATTGTAATATCCTCAAGAATCTAAAAGCAGAGCTGCTTAGTGTCCCTACTAAGGCCTTGGCTGAGAAAAAGTGCCCAGTGTCTGTTCTGACTGCAAGTGCAAACTGTAGAAGATAAAGCATTTGTATATAAATGACACAAACTGTTTAAACAAAAGGAGAACACAAGCCCTCAGAAAGGTCCAGGAACAGCCTTGGGGTGTTGTTACAGATGGCTCCCCAGGAACATTGAGCCTACCAAGATGTTTGTCCACATTGGCTAATAAAACCCAGGACAGCAGAAAGGGAGGATGGAAAGAGATGCCAGCATGTAGCTGGGAACCCTTGGGACACTCCACCCAGCTTTGGGCCTGGGCCAGAGGCAAGAAGGCCCACCCATGAATGTTAGGAGGCCAAACAGGAAAGAGACACAGAGGAACTTGTTCAACCCAGAATGTTCTGCTGGGGCCATGGGCCACTCAGAAAGGTATCCAGAAGGAAGCAGAGTCACTCACGGTATGTCCTCAAAGCTTGTGCCAGGCTCTGAAAGCAGAGCCAGGCGGATTCAGAGACTGATTGAGCCAGTCTGTTTTCTCTGCCCAAAGTAGAGATATGTGTTCTAAGACTCTCATTTGCCACACCCCCCATCCTGCTAACCTAGGCCAAAGCACTGTAAAATGTCCCTAGGGTGATGGTGCTAGGTAGGGCAAGAAGCTGCGGCTGCAGTTTGGTTCTGGAGCTTAGGAGGGAGAGTAGGGTGGGAAGGGAGGAAGGAAGAAGGCACAGATCCCGAGCAGCCTCCACTGAGGGATCACCAGCCTTCAGGGAAGAGGGACGACTGAGCGCCAGAAACACTTACAATTCTCTGCCGTTTCCAGACATTTTGAAGCCACCAAATGGAGCCTGGGCATAGAATGCATTGTAGCAGTTGACCCTGGAGAGAGGGTAAAAGGCACTTGGGTCACCTGGAGAGCGCTGGCCTGCATCTTGAGACGCTGGAGGCACAACATGGCCTTTGGGCAAAGTTTCCATAACTTGATCACAGCACACCCCTTACACCTCTTCACTCCTGCTTCCTTTCTTCCTGCCAGAAACTATAGTTGGAATATATGGAGGAAGGGAGCTAGAGGATGGCTTAGCTGTGAAATGATGCAGGCCTGATCTCAGAGCTCTGCTTCCTAGACTGTGTGGGTGACTCTAAGCTTGTTCAACCTCTTTGAGTCTCACTCTCACTTCACTCATCTGGAAGATGGGCATGAGTATCCAATCTGTAGAATTATCAGTGATCAGAGGCAAGTGTCCATACTGGGCAGGTTAGTTATGAGCTGTCTTTAGAATCCACCAGAGACAAAAATCAGAGAGGTAGCGTGACACAGCTGTCAAAGGTTCGGGCTTTGAAGCTATGTCCCGTGACCCTCGATAACCATAGGCTCTGCACCCTCAGATTCAACTAACTTCACACCCAAATTTTTGTGCAGAATTCTTTTTCTCCTTGACAGTATTCTCTAAACAGTAGCATACAATAAATATCAACACAGTATTATACTAGATGTCGTCAAGCCTGTAGATGATTTTGAAGTATGCAGGATAGGATGGGGTATACCTTGGTGATAAAATGCCTTTCTAGTATGTTCCAGGTCTGGGGCCAGAGTGCCAGTATGGTATAAATAAATAGATAGATAAATAAATGTATAAATACATAATAACAAATAAGCAAGCAAGCTGGAAAATGTTCCTAAGATATCTGCACATGGAGAGACTTGAGTAGCCATAGACTTTGGTCTCTCAGCAAGGAATGAATCCTCTGCAGCTAAATACTGAGGGCCAACTGTACGAGCTGTGTGATGCTGGACAAGTAATCTCTTTTTATGCCCTGATTTCTTCATGTGAAACATGAAGGACTCAAGGCTGTGGGATACCCATTTCAGAGGATGATCTCCAAGGCGCCCAAACAGTGTGAGCGCATCATGTAACCTGTGCCAATGAATGGAAAATGAAACTAGCAAGCCAGCGGCTCAGATAGCAAAATGCTCCAGCACCCATGCTTGGCTCACCAGACTGTGCCAGACTCCAGCGCAGAAGCCAGCTTCAGGGCTTTGTCCAGGTTTTTGGTGAACACTGCTGCTGTGAGTCCGTAGTCAGTGCTGTTCGCTCTTTTGATCACTTCTTCAAGATTTTTGAACTTCAGTATTGGCTGCACTGGTCCGAAAATCTGTAATCAATTACAAGGAGAATTGTAGGAGGCCTGTAAGGATGGGATTGTGTGGCTTGATGAGGGACCCAGCTTTCATGCCTTCCCATAGTCCCAGAGTTCCTCCTCACAAGACAAAGAACTCCCAAGACCTCTAAAACTGCATGATAGCTGAAATTTGAATGAGGGAATTAAGATAGAACAAAAAAAATGGAAGAGAACCCAAACATATATACACTGCATTTATGATCCCTGTATGCTAGCACTGTTTGTGAGAACTGTCATTCTCAGAACCTTGTGGAAAACCCATGTACAGCAGGGTGGACATGGGACTGAGAGGCACAGGGAGATTTATGGTTGTACAGTGAGGGGGAAGTCTGCTTAATCTCCATCTCCATCGTTCTCTAGAACAACTATGGCAGAAAGGTCAACGAGAATATAGCTGGGACACATTCCCTGAGGGACACTTGTTGTTAAAGGACAGTCTGAAGAGTGTGAAGTAGCTATGGGTCCTGAATCCATAACTTTGTGTCTGGTAACACCCACAAGGCTAAGAGATGTTGGACCTGGGCTGTGCGAGCATCTGTTGGAAGGAGATGGACTGCTGCTGGCTGGAGACCATGAGCAAGGACAGAAACAGGGCTGGAACAATTGTAGCTACCATAGGCCTTGGGGTTCACCGGAGGCAACAGAGCCCAAAGAATAGCAGGGCTACCCTGCAAAGGCTTCTGGGATTCCTGGAGCCTCAGAAGAATTCTTTGAAGGTCCCCTGGATCCCCAGTTCTGGGGACCACACCTACCTCCTCTTTGGCAATCCTCATATTGTCTGTAACATCTGAGAAGACAGTGGGTTTGATGAACAGCCCCCTGTCCTCCATGGCTGAACCCCCACATTCTAGCTTGGCCCCTTCTTTCTTCCCACTCTCGATCAGCTCAAGGATTTTGTCAAACTGCTTTTGATCGATCTGCAAAACACAGAAGGGAATTATAACCACCTCCTTCCAGGAGGAGACTGTTGTGCTTTCAGTGGGCCTCGGCACCATCAGTGGTCCTTTACCCCGTGTCCTTGTCAAGTCCTAGATCAGAAAACAGACAGCCTTGTGGGCAGATGTTCCTCCCATGCACAAACCTGGACGCTTTGAAACAAGGAGCCACAGGGAGGTTGGCTGTTCTCACCTTTAAACTTGAGATCTTATTCACATGTCTAGTTCCCCTTCTCATGCTGAGAGGTTGAGGGTAAGGGGGAAATGGGTTCTGAAATGGTTGCATTCTCTCCGGACTTGGCATTCTGCTAGAATTACTAGATTTGACAGGTAAAAACACAGGATGAACAGATAAATGCAGCTATCAGAAATATAACACATGATTGTTTTTAGTATAAAGTACACACCAAACAGCATTTGAGATATACTTAAGCTAAGATGCCTTCAGTTTGTCTAAAATTCAAGTCTAGTGGTGCCAATATTTACCTGTGTACCATAGATGGGGTGGATACTTATTGGAATTATCCTATCCAAGTACAGAGGAGGGAGCAGGGCCGAACACTTGACTCAGCATCTCTGGGAACAGTGATGTGAGTCTCACAATAGGGGATGGGTGCTGCTTCTTGGCTGGAGGGAAATGAACTCAGAAAGATTCAACCTTCTGCTACTGCCTCATTGGCTCCAAGGTGCCCTATGCCACAGTTCACAGATGAACACCCAGCTATGGGCCACAGTACTCAACCGTCTGTCAAAAGGCCACCCCTCCTGGGGATGGGCGCATCATGGAAGGTGCTCTTTCTGTCCCCATTCACAGTCTTCTTCCTCAAATCCAAATGGTCTTATCATGACCCAGTTGACGGTTTCCTCCCTCCCAGGCTGAGAGAGACAGAGTTTAATCAAATGCTGTTTCTGTTCCTGAGGGTTTTAGATAGGAGTTTTGGTTTCATTCCAGTAACATTAGGTAGGGAAAAGAATTCAGGGCCCAGGAGATGGCTCAGTCAGTAAAACTTGAGGACCTGAGATCAGATCTCTGGAATCCATGGAAAAACCTTCGTGTGGTGAACTATACCTGTAGTCCTCTCAAAAAATAGGGTGGACGTTGATAGAGGAAGAACCTGACTCTGACCTGTGGCCTCCACATAAACATATAGTACATGCACACACATGTTAAGCATGGCTGCACATACACATGAACACACATGTGTATACCACAAATATGCTCGTGTAGAAAAGGATGAAAAGTAAATAAACCTATCTCAAGTAAAGAAAGTTCTTTGAGTTTCTTTTTAAGGAACAATTTTTAAAAATAATGAGATGGTAGAGCCAGCATGATCTCTTTCACATCGAGACAGGGAAAGAATCCAAGAGCATCATCACTTTTGCTTGCCCACCTGTAAGGAAATCCTGGAGGAGAGTGCCAGGAATAAAGACCATGCGACCCCCCACTGCAGGGAGAGGTAAGAACAAGTGTTGGTGGGGTGGTGCTGGGGGAGCCCCTTCACTGTAGTCCTTTGCACACCATTAGGGTGTGCTGACACACCACAAGAAAGTAAGGGAAAAAACCAAAACACATGCAGTTCCACGTTCTGTCAGCCTTTCTCTGGGTGAACCACATCTTGGCTTAAAAGCTCCAGATGGGGCTGGTGAGATGTTCTGCAAGTAACGGTGCTGGCTATGAAGCCTGACAACTTGAGCTCAATGCTGGGCTAGGCAAGGGATCCACACAGTGGAAAAAGACTGCTGTCCTTGTCAAGCTGTCCTCTGGTCCCCGCACATGAGCACTGTGGCATGCGCACCCCACACAAAGACACAAAGGTATACGCGTACAAATTAAACAAATAAATGCTACTTAAAACCTTTTTTTTTTTTAACATGTGAAGAAAAGTCCCATATGTTACGAAACCTCTCTCCTCCTCGGGGGCCCATGTAGCTCACTGGAGCAACTTAACTTCCTCAGGCCTCGGATCTTGGCTGGCTGGAACTACATTGTACTGACAGACCCCATCGTCTTTGCAGGCAGCTGGGGTCCCCGTCAGAACCCCTACACACCCAAACTCCACCCCCATGAGTCCTCATAAACACGTTGTTTAAATCTAATAGCCATCCATGAAATGTCAGCTGGTGCCTACAGCACAGGAAGAGAGATCTGGCAGGATGTGGAATGACAGGGTAGGGCACCGCACCAGAAGTGGAAAAAGATGGCTCCCACAGGACCTTCCACGGCTGTGCTTGCTCTGCAGAGGACGCCTCCGGATCCCGAGCAGGCCAGGTGGCCTCCTTGCTTGTCTGCCAAGCTAACCCAAAAGATGATGGAGTGTTCCAGCAAGCGGTCTCCAGCCCTGGCCCCCAATCTAGGTCAGCTAGTTCTTCCACAGGCCTGAGATGGACAGAAGTGTTTAGGCAGCTGGACACCCTTTCGGAACAAAACCTTAAAGGTCTTGGAAGGAGGAAGGTTATCATCAGGATCCTAACATAATGTCCAGTGTAGATAATGTAAGTGAGCTCCAAAGGGACTCGGCCGGGCAGAGCACAGGTGGAATGGACACCCACTCCCCGGAAGAGCCTGTGTGTCTGGCTCCAATGCCACACTGGAGACTTGGGAAGCAAAGAAAGGAAATGATAGGAGGAAAGCTCTCCTTAGCAGGTCTCCCACCCATTCTAGATTAACTCTAAAACTTGTGGATCTGATACTGATCTGTGGCCATGTTTGCACTGAGGCCACGGACTACCTTGTGTCAGGACTTCAGAGTTTGTGATTGAGATTGGGGATGAAGGATGTACACAGCTTCCCTGCTAGGGACAGAGGATATCAGAGCTGCAGGCCACATGGACTGGGGTCAGGGTTGGTGTCACCTTGGCCAGAAAATCTCCCCTCCACTTCTTCCCTAGACAGCATCCACACAGGATGGTTTGCCAAACCGACGGCGATGCCCTGAAATCATGCAGGAATGTATGTGCCTCCTACTTCCAGAGACCTGCCAGTCAGTGTTTCTCCCTTAGAACAAATCTATGCCTTCTGCTGAGTACTTCCTGGTGATGCGACACCCTCTATGACTCCCATTTCCCAGATGAGGAAAACTAAGGGCTGGGAGGAACAAAACCACAGAACCTAGTTTGGGCTCAGGAGCTTCCTGTGTAAACATTTGGTGCTGACTCAGTGATAAACTGTGAATGTCTGGGATAGACAGTGGTTGGTAAGTCATGGATATGCCTAGAAACTCGAGGGTTGAGCACAAGACTGGCAAAAGGCAGAGAGCTGCCACCGAGCTCTGTTGCAATAGTGCAGGGATGGCCAGGCTGCCCTCTTGAATATCCAACAAACTTTGTTAAACTTCGTAGTTATGGCCATTTGCATCCTGTCCAGGCTTCACAAACCAGACCTGCAGAAACCTGTTCCCACTGCCCAGGATATAATAGTCCAATCCCTAGAGTTTCTCCACCCTCTGGTTCCTGGGGTTATCCCATGCTGTAACCCGCTGGTTCCTGAGGTTTATCTCATGCTATAGCCCTCTGGTTCCTGGGGGTTATCCCATGCTGTAGCTCTCTGGTTCCTGGGGGTTCTCTCATGCTATAGCTCTCTGGTTCCTGGGGGTTATCGTGCACTGTAATGCATGTGACCTTGAGGACCCCGGAGTCAAGAATTGTCAGTCATTGCCCTGGCTGTGTCCCTCTTCTGTAGGGTTCAGGAAACTCTCTATGTGACCTAGCCCCAAGGTTCAAAGGTCACCATATCAAGAAGACAGGGTATGGATGGATAGCCTTGTGCCTTGTGCCTTGTGCCCTGTGCCCACTGGCTCCTCCCTTGTCCCCATGGCTGCTGCTCCATTTCCTGACAAAACCAACTTCATCAGCTTCCACACAAAAGCTTCGAGTGACAGAGAGCACCCACTAGTTCTTTTCCTTGGGGGAGGAGCCCTGTCTGTGGCCATACTTCTGCCTTGCTGAGCCCGCAGTGGAGTATCACACATGGAGGCATGTTTGTTGGTGGGTTACCTGGGGTCCTTGCTCCGTTTTGGCATCGAAGGGATCTCCAACTGGCCTCTTCTTGGCATACTCCACACTCCTCCTCACAAACTCCCCATAGACCTGCTCTTCCACGAACACTCTGGAGGCGGCTGTGCAGCACTGGCCTTGGTTGAAGAATACTCCTTGGTGAGCACACTCCACCGCCAAGTCCACTGGGGGCCAGGGGAGGCAAGAGGAAGCGATTAAGTTGTTACAGCAGGCCTGGCGACAGCTGCAACTCTAATTGCCCCCACAAGAAAACAGGCCCCAGATGACTGCACTTCAGAAACTAATATTTCTTTCTCAGTGCTTCCCAAAGGAGGGGATGGGGGCGGGGGAAGGGTTTTAGATCCATCAAGTTTGAATTAAGTAAGTCCAAGAAGCAAGACTTCTCAGGGCCATTAACACGCCAATGATGCAGAGCTGGGACAGCTCATCTGTCCAGGGAACCCCCACCCCAGCTTTCCTGTCCGACGCTGGGGACAGTCTGGAGGGACTGTACCCCCGCAGGGTTGAAACACGACAGCCTCACAATGCACATGGGCCTCCATGCACCTCACCCCTGCAGCTGGGCCAGAGGCTAGGCTCAAATGCCACTCCTCAAGACACCAATTCATTTCTTGGTCCCTGGTGAGAGCCAGGAAGGATGACTGAAGTGGCAGAATGGTGTGTGTCACCCTGGACATTATGTCAGGATTTAATTTTGTGGAATGGCGCTGCCTGGAGGAGGAGGCAGGAGGAAAAGGCAGCAGAGGGGCGGGGAGTGGGGGAGCAGGCTCTGTTTTCATGACTATGGTAAACCAGCCCTTGTATGATTTGCTTCTGGTGCTTTGCTGTGGGGTTCACTCCATGGAGTGGACAGCAGGTGGGACATCCACTATAGTGACCCCATAATTCAAAGCAGTCCTAGTTCTTTGGGATGGGAGTTTGGGACCCCAAATGTGAGTCACAGTAGGGAAACATAGAAAACTGTTCCAAGTGACTGCAGCAGCAACATTGCTTTAGGCAAGAGCTGGGCAATCCCTCTCCACAGCCTCCCTGGCTTTCTTCCTCAGTCTTCTCTCCCACTGAAAACCGGCTTCAGGGAAAGGAACGGCTACCCCTCCTTCACTTCTCAGTGAGAAATCGTGCCAGTGTCATTATTTCTCAGGGCTATTTTCAAATCCGGTCTTATCTAAGTGTGGAATAGAAGGCTTTGTTCTCTGTGGCAGGAATTTCTGGCACCAGTGGACAGTGGGGGAGGCTGCTCTTTAAAGCCTAGGTGCTCTAAGGCCTTTGAGGAGTCACACCTTTTGAGAGGTGACCTAGACATAAGGTGACCTAGCAATCAGGTGACTGGATGCCCAGTGTGGTCCTCTCTGCCCTCTTCTGGACATAGCAGCCAGCAATAACATACATTGTAATATTGGGTCACACAGCTCTGGCAGGACACTAGATGCTCCCAGCTGCTGTGCGGGTGGCTTTCCCAGGGAAGAGGTGACACAGGGATGACACCCAGAGCATGTTTTTGTTTTGTGTTCTGAAGGGTCAGCAAGGCTGTTCTCCAGTGTGTCAGGTCCAAGACAAAGAAGAAACACTTGGACTCTTTCAAGAGCATAAGAACAAACACAGTGGCCATACTGACTTGAAGGATAGAAAAATGGATGCCCAGAGTGGGAAGCTTGCCTCCTCCTTCCCCAGCCCAGAAGGTTCCCTGCAGGAGAAACTGGACCAGTCTTTGGTTTCCTCACATCCTTAGGTGCAGGAACTTAGCCTTCAGGGGCAGACCCTTCAATATCTATAAGCCACAGGCTTTTCCATCTCCCTTCTACCCTCCATAGGCTGGGCCTGATGAGGGGACAATGAGTGGCCCGTTCCACTGTGTGTGTGTACGCTCCTCTTTTCGTGGGTCCTGAAAGCACACTAGGAAGTGAGGAAAGACCTGTGGCCCCAGTGACTCACGGTCGGCATCAGCACACACGATGCATGGGTTCTTGCCCCCCAGCTCCAGCGTGACTCGCTTCAGGTTGCTCCGGGAGGCAGCTTCTTTAACCAGCTTTCCAACCTTCGGGGTAAGAATCAGGCTGCGTTAACTCTTAGACTCTGTGAACCTGTCCCCAGGAGGTGCCACCTGCCTCAGTGAAGCACCCAGGTCTGTGCATCAAATTGTCACACAGCCTTGGCTCCCCAGGCTGGCCACTGCTGCTGGGCACCCTGCTAAGGGTGATCTTCCACTCCTGCTAGAGATAGCTAAGACTGCTGATTTGAGGGGACTGTCAAGTTAGGGGAACAGCAAAGATGGTTCATTCTTGAGATGACAGGTGGCCAATTCTCTGGAAGCCTTTAAAGACTGAGCCCACCTTGGGAGGAGGAGAGAGAATTGGTAGCTGATGTGGTGCCACGGGACAACACTCACAGGCACCTTGACGGGGTCTCTCTGTGCCCTGGGTACGAAGATGGAGGTGCATCTGGTCTATCATGCCTCCTGACACATCGTGGTAACAAGTTTAGCCAGACACAAAGAACCTCTGAGCTGGGAAAGACCTAGAAGACCAGGGCAGACCCCACAACTTAGAGCTGGATAGCTCAGTGTGTACAGTGCCAGGGCTGTTTAATGCCACATGGGGGAATGGTGGCTGTAGGCCATGGTCTAATTCTGACAGGAGTCTCTAAGCATACTCACCCTGGCTGCCAAAGGGAAGGACAGGAGTGGGGTGGGTAGCAGGCTCCTAGCCAGACTAGATATCTCAGAGATGTCCATTTCTCCCATCATCCTGCTTGTCTTTTTATTGATTTTTAGGTGCTCTTCACATATGAAGGATATATAAACATTTAGAGAGCTGCATGCAGCACAACTGGTTTTTTACAGCTTGTTTATCATCTCTTAGCCTTAATTATGATATTGTTTACTATACAGATGTTTTACATTTTTATTTTATCTTATCTCTCATTTATTTTTTGAAGGCTTCCAAATCCTATTAACTATTTATTTAGTTTGGGAACTGGAACAGTGACATTTTACTAATAGAACATAGTTAGATTTAGAAAAAATAAGCAAATGGTACTTGAGTTTCTCAAGGAAATGTCTGTGGGTTTCAAATAATAGAGAGGTTGTTGTATTTGCCAGCAGCTCATGAAGAGGGTTTACCTCTGTGGACCCTGTGAAGGCTATCTTGTTGATCTGTGGATGAGCGGAGATTGCTGCTCCCACTGTGGGCCCAAAGCCTGGCACGATGTTCACCACACCCGGAGGGAACCCCACCTGGGAGGAACAGAAATGGTATCGGAGGATCAGAGGGACAGCACTGTCTACAGGGGTGGCAAGCGTTGTTTAAGCCATGTAATGTCTCCAAGCAGAGCAGCACTCTCTAAGGGAAGCTGTGTTATGCACTGGGCAGAATGCACCCACATCGGAAACCTCTCCTCAGTGAGCTGCCCTCCTAACCCTCTGCTGCAAGCCTGGGTGCAAGCACTTAGTGAATTGATCACTCTGCCCCTGAAGAGCCTCTTACCCCAGCAGGGTTGAGGGGCAAAGATTCAGGGATGCCACTAGGTGGCAGTGGCCCTCTTGCATAAGGGGTGTGTGTGTGTGCGTGTGTGTGTGTGTGTGTGTGTGTGTGTGTGTGTGCGCGCGCGCGCGCGTGCGCGTGCGCGCTCGCATGTGCTTGTATGTCTGTCTGTATGTGTATACTTGGGAATATGAATGTGCCTATGTGAGAATGTGTCTGTGTATATGTGTGTGGGGGTGTGAGACAGCATGGGAACGTGAAAGCACGTATGTGCTTTTGTGAGAGAGCCTGGGTTTGTATGAGTGTGTGAATGGGTGCACCTGTATGTGTGTGAGAGATCACATGTGTGTGCATGTGTGTATAAACATGTGAATATGAGAACATGTGTGACTGTGTGTGACTGTGTGTGCATGCATGACTATGCGTGTATTGAGGGAACAAGAAGTCCCTTGGACACACCCCCTCCAGATCGTCGATGCCCTTGTCGAGCCAATGTTGGGTCTTACCCTGCCCCACCCTTATACAGGTAAAATGAGAAATCCTTCCCCTTGCTGGACCCACTGGGCTCATCCAGGATTGGCACTTGCTGAGGCAGGGGGTTGCTGAATCTTCCATGCTCACACTCATGCAGGGCACATATGGGAGGCCTCCCCATTAACAAGACTTTCACCAACCTAATGAGGTAGAAGTTGCTGTTCCCAGCACAGTGGGGTCTTGCCTATGACTTTATTTTGAAAATGCCCTTTTAGGACGATGCTTGAATCTTTTATTGGTTTTTTTTCGAGACAGGATTTCTCTGTGGCTTTGGAAGCTGTCCTGGAACTAGCTCTTGTGGACCAGGCTGGTCTCGAACTCACAGAGATCCACCTGTCTCTGCTTCCCAAGTGCTGGGAGGCTCCCAGAGCCTCTTTTACATGATAAACATGTCCTGTGTAGCTAGTGGCAGGAAGGTGAGAGCTGCCTGATTCCAGAGGCCCCAGCTGCCCTCAGTGGTCCAGCAGGTACTTCCCAGCAGCCTCAGTCCGGCTGGGAGTGAAGTGGTGGCCTTTCTTCCAGCTCATGTGTCTTCCTGTTCTTTCAATCTTTGCTGTATGCACACTGATGATGGAATGGCTAAAATATGTTGCCAGGTGTGTCTAGCAGGTGTCCCTGCGGGCCACTGCTTCCCTGAGTTGTGGCTCCCTTGGGGTGGGGAGGACAGTGTGGAGGCTCTTGGGGACCTACGCACAGCTGCAGCTACCTAGCTAGCTGGCAAGGCCACCCTTCCCAGAGGAGGAAGGACTTTTTCACTTCCCATGGCCTCTGAGCCCAGGACCTGTGGAGTTTGGGGCTCCCTTTTTTTGGCCCCCTCCTGCAAATGCTCTAGATAAAACAGTGCTAACTACAAGTCTGTGAGTTAATGAGGGGGAGAGGGACAGGATCGTGTTAGGAATATGGGGAGGAACAGAAGCTTCCAGATCAGCTACAACGAACAAAAGCAGTCACATCCTTCCCTTTGCACCATGAGCTGGTGGCCCCCATCAAGGATTCTCATGGTGCCTAGCTCATGGGGGTGGGGATCTATCTGGAATACATAATACCTTCTTTTCAGACTTCTTACCTCTTTGATGAGAGAGCCAAGGTACAGGGCGGTGAGGGGTGTCTGCTCAGCAGGTTTCAGGACCACAGTGTTCCCACAGCACAGGGCAGGAGCCAGTTTCCAGGCCAGCATCAGAAGGGGAAAGTTCCACTGTGCCAGAGCATGAGACGGGGGCCCTGAGGCTCAGGTCCACTGTGCCTCCAACCCAGGGCCCACCTCCCTCTGTGGAGGACACTTCCTCTGCTTGGTCTGAATCGGACTTTGAAGGAGAGCATAGGTGTGTGCAAGAGTGCAGGAGCCCAGTGCTTCTCAGCAGCACCCTGGAGATGCTAACGCAGGAGCAGTTCTATGCTATGTGCCTTCCCATTCCCTCCAGAATGCTTGCTAAAGGGGTGGCACTTTCCTTGTCTCCTCCATCCTCATTCACTCAGTTGCTGTGGAAGTGGCCCAGGACTTCCCAAACAGAGAGGCAGCACTGAGTTCCCCAACATGCGCAGGTCTCAACCGCCTGGCATCACAGGCTTCGGGAATGGCCCTGCTATCTGCCAGTGTGCTCGACCTAGCCTAAGCTCCCACTCACCAGCCTTCCTCTGCTTCCTTCCAAGGAGGCAGACAACCCATGTCTTTGCCCAGGCAGGTCGCACTGCTTGCAAAGCCCTCTTCCCTGTTGACCAAACTTTTTTATTCTTCAGCCCCAGTTAAGAGACTCTGCATCACAGAGGAGCAGGCCATTCTAACCACTCTGCTGGAATCTACCATGCTTCCTGCCAAACACCCCGAACCACCCTGGGCAACCTCAGGCACAGACCCCCATGCCCCTAGCTTGCACTCAGCCTGTGGTGGTTGTAGTGGGCAGAAACAGAGTCTGTGATGGCAAACTTCCATACTCACTGGTGTAATGGCCCCACACACCCCAATGGGCTCGTGCCTGGTGAAACACACAACGTTGTTATCTGGAAGAGAGGTGACACAGGGAAAGAACACAATCATGGTGAAGAACTGCACACGGGCCTGTGCTTGCTGGCACACACCTTCAATCTCAGCACTTGGGAGGCAGAAGCAAGTGAATCTCTGGGAGTTCAAGGTCAGCCTGGTCTACATTACCAGGACAGCTGGTGCTACATAATGGAAAGAGCCTGTCTCACAAAAACAAAGCAAACCAACAAAACAGGAAAAAACAAAACATAAAACCAACCCCACAACAAACAAACATAAAAGAATTTCACATGGCAAAGCTATAAGAAAGAAATGGAGAAGCCTGCAAAGGGGCCAGGTCTTATCCATTACACAAAGAAGTGATTTGAGCTCAAGTTCAAAGCATGAATTGTGTTCCCAGGAAGAATCAACCTGTTGCCATGTGGGGAGAGGGCAGGGGGAAGGATGCCCCACAGGGAAAAAGGCCTAGAGGGAAGAGAAGACAAATTCCCCAGTAGACCCAAGCGAGGCTCCAGTCTATCCTGTATAGGCTCACCTGTGGGGATGGTCCTGCCCTGGATTTTGTCTGCCCACCCGGCAAAATATCTGAAGGTCTTAATACAGCCCTCCAGGTCGACAAAGAAGGCATGAAGGAATGGCTTGCCAGTGTCCATCGTCTCCAGAGTCTGCAAGAACAAGACAGCTCCTTTTGTAGACACGGTTTTCTTTTCTCTTCCGGTTGTTAAGTAGAGGGGTGCAGGGGAAAGCCCAACCCTAGGCACAGCACTACACCTCGGTCTTACATGCCACTTTAGAAAGCCTGCCTCTCCATTGAAATGGACCTGACCCTACTGGCAAGGACTGGCCAGCCTATTCTGCCTGGTGCCTGAAGCAGGGGGCTGGTGAAGCATGGGCACTGTCTCCCTTGCTGCTCATTTGAAGGTGTGCTGGCTGCCAGCCACTCTGGCATTTGCTCTTCCATCCAGAGCAGTCTCCACTGTACCATCCAGACATGCAAATTCATGCACTCCAGGGAGCTTCCAGAAGTTGGCTAGCAAGAGGGTGGTTTCTTCTAACAAAAGAGAAAGGGAAGACGTTGTTGGCTTTTCCCTCTCAGCTGAGCGGGTCAGTGTGGCAGCGGAAAGAATGACAGAGTTCAGGAGGGTCAAGCCACCAGCACAAAGATGCAGTGCTCTCCAAACAGGCAGCAGGCCGGATGTGGAAACAGAGCAGGGAGGGCAAGCCGGCTGGACTAGGCGGTCACCCAGGCCAGGGTGACCCTGCTCAATATTGGGATTCTTTTCTATTTCTAGTCTGGGTGAAAGAAACCCCTTTATCCCTCACACAAGCAGCCCTGTGGAGCGCTATGCTGGCTGGAACCTCCAGTTATCCTGCTTCACAGGAAGTATCCACCCGATCCTGATGTGATGCCTAGGGCTGGATTCCTGCTGAAGTGTCTATGGGACTAGATGATGCTAGAAAGAGGAAGGGAGGTGCCTCCTCATTCCTTACCCAGGGCTTTATCCCCAAAGCACTTGCCTATGTCGTATGGCGGGCTGGGTGTCTCTGTTCCCATTAGAAGATGAAGGGGCAGACACTGATGATAATAGGGCCCAGTGACTCCCTAAGGCTGGCCAGCCAGCCAGCCAGCACTGACATCCAGCCACCTCAGCCATCACTGGTTAGGCGGCTGTCCCTAGGCATTTGGAAGGCTTAAGATATTCAGGGCTTGGCCAGGCATTGGTGGCTCATGCCTTTAATCCCAGCACTCAGGAGGCAGAGGCAGGTGGATCTCTGTGAGTTTGAGGCCAGCCTGGTCTACAGAGCAAGTTCCAGGACAACCTTCAAACCAATACAGAGAAACCCTGTCTTGAAAGACCAAAAAGAAAAAAAAAAAAAAAAGATACTCAAGGCTCTTCTGTCTGACCTTTGCTTCTTTCTGTGTATGTGGTAGGTATGTGTGTACATGTTCATGTGTGTATGGACACATGTGCATATGGGTGTGTATGCATCTAGAAGCTTCCTCAACCACTGGCCACCTTACTTTTTGAGACAGTCTCTCCTTGAGTCTGGAGTTCACTGATTTAACCAGACTGGCTGGCCAGTAAGCTTCAGGGTCCCCTGTCTCCATCTCCACAGACCTGGGATTTACAGGTACAACCTGCCATTCCTAGCTTTTTAAGTGATGCTGAGGATCCAGACTCAGATCTTCATGTCTGTGCAGCAAACACTGTGTTGACTGAGCCATCTCCCTAGTCAGAGAAGCTGTCTGCCCTGACTGATGCTGTTTGAGCCCCCCAAATGTCTTCCACCTCAGTTACCTCTGCTGTAAAATGAAGATATCAACATTTTCACCCTCTTGGAGCTGGTAGGTTAGTTAAGAGAATCAGGAAACACAACACTCATATAAGCAGCCACAGCAGTGCAATTGCCCAGGTGCTAACTGGTACACAGCCCAGCTTTCTCTTGAGCACTACACAGGTGCTTGTTTGGTGATCCTCGCTATGACCCCAAGAAAGAAGGACTCAGACTTGTTGAAGACAACAGAACTTGGTTAGTTCTGACTGAGGCCTGGGTCATACCTGCAGTACCAACCACTTGGAGGAGGCCAGCATGACACCCAGTACCTTGTACCTTTGGCCCCTTTGGATTGGCATCCAAGTTGACACTTTCATTTTCTGAGAAGCCTAGCATTTTAAAGAATATCCAAAGGCCCTCAGCTCTGTGAAGTTCCCAAGAGCGTGAGCACACCTGTGCATAAAGTCAGGTATCTGTCTGTTCTTGGCTCCTTGCTGTGATAAGGCAAGGGAGAGGACACAGATGGAGCATTGTGGGAAAGTTTGCGACATGGCAACCATCTGTCTGCTATCCTGGATTTCTACCTTGGGCTGGGTGGCCTTGGACAGGGTACTAACTTTTTCTGATCCTCAACTTCCTGACTTTAAAGTGAAATAGTACACATACAAGCCCAGAGCCTACAAATCAGCTTCTTGGAGGACATTCAATAAGCATTGCCCACAGATTTTTAAATCCTTAACCCAGGCAAGATTGCTTAGCAGAGTAATAGCTTGAAATCTCTAGGTTGGTTGTAAAGAATCTGTACAAACAAAACTCAGTTCACAATAAACTTAGACAGCAGGTTCTTTAAAGGGAGGGGAGGCTAAGGAGATGGCTCAGTCAGTAAAGGGCTTGCCTTGCAAGCCTGAGGACCCGAGTTCAATCCCCAGAACCCATGTTTAAGAAAAGCCAGGTATGGTGGCACATTCCTGCATCAAAGAGGTTGAGACAGGTCCCTAGAACTCACTGGTCGGTAAGCCTTGCCTAGTTAGTGAACTCCAATCAGAAATTCTACTTTAAAAACACACAACAACAAAGCAAAAAAACAAAGTGCACTGGTCCTGTGGAACAGGATGTTGACCTCTGACCCCCACACATACATTGAAACACGTGCAAGTGTATCTACACTCACATGTGGTACTGGTCAGTGTCTTGTGAACCTGACACAAGCTAGAGTCATTTGAGAAGAAAGAACCTCAATTGAGAAAATGCCCTCATCAGAGTGGTCCATACACAAGTCTGTGGGGACATTTCTTGACTAATGGGTAATGGAGAAGACCCACAGCTCACTGTGGGCGGTGTCATCTCCCACAGTTAATCCTGGATGGTGTAAGAAAGCAGGCTGCGCAAGCCATGAAGAGTAAGCCAGTAAGTGTCACACTTGCATGGCTTCTGCTTCAGCTCCTGCCTCCAGGTTCCTGACTTGAGTTCCAGTCCTGACTGCCTCGAGTGATGGAGTGTGACCTGAGAGCTGCAGGCTGAAATAAATCCTTTCCTCCTCAAGTTGCTTTTTAGCTATGGTGATTTATGACAGCTATAGAAAACCTAACTAAGACACATATACGTATTCACATGCACCAATAAAATAAAATAAAGAAAAGAAAAAGACGAGGAGGAGATTGGAGTTAGATGATTGAGCTTGAGAAATCAAGTGTTAGCTCCTGACAGAAACAGACGACTGTCTTGTGACTTACTGCTGTGATTCAAACATGAGCCACCTCGGCCACTCCCAGGCTTACTCTCTTCAGCGTACTAAGAGAAAAATGCCCCTTCTGAAAGATGAATGCTGGGATGGCTTCCCTAGAAGCTAGTATGCTCATACTGCAAACAAGGGTCGGGAAATGGCACCTATGTTGAAAGGTTAATCTCTCATGGGGGGGGGTATTTGGTACCTAGCTAGATGAGCACCCAAAAGTCTACAGCTTGGGCCCAGGGTGCCTCAACAGAGCTGGAAAGCCACGAGCCACCGAGGCCCCCACATCTGTTTCCAAACTTTGAACACAGTAAACACCCAGCTCCATCAAAACCACTGAGCTGGCCGGAGAATATGACAGAATAAAGCATTTTGCGGCTCGAAAAGGCAGGAAACCATATCAAGGTAGAGAGGGAGGGGTGCCCTCCTGTGATGTGGTCAGAATTTTCAAAGCCATATTTCCCAGTCATTCTTGGGTCCCTTTAATGTTGTGGCCAAGAGCTGGATCTTATTTCTTGTGGGCTAGCAGGTTGCAGTGGCGGGACTGAAGTGCTGGGTGCTGTCCCCAGTCCTCTCACCTGCAGCTGCCGCTATCAAAATGCTACAGTGCCAGGGCGATGGGACTGCCTGGAGAGGAAGGTGGCCTTGCACTGCTTATACCACAGATGGTACTGACACTTGAGGACAGGGTGGGGAGGGTTGCCCAGGGCACATCCTCTTGAGCCTGCTATTAGTGCTCACGGACATTGCAGACTGATGAGCTCATGCGGGGGAAAACAGAAATGTTTTTGAAAAAGCCAGTTTGGCAGCTTGAACAGTGTGGCTGGTTTTCGGTGCAGGAAGAAAGCCGAGGCTCTCTGGAGCTTTTTACCCTGGGAGGGAGCTACACTCACTCAGATTCATTCCTGGGAACAGGAGACCTAGCAACTGGGAGGAAGGAAACAGAGCTCAGGCTATCCACAGACCGCTCTCAAAGAGAGCTCCCCTAGCCCCAAGGAGTATACTTGGGACAAAGGCAGTTCAGTGTCCTGCCTGATACTGTTCTTCAAAAGGGTTTTCAGCATCAAAACCATTTTTCTAAATCAAAGACCGAAAAGATGTCCCTTCCTACAAAATGGGCCTCAAGGTTTGAAAAAAATTTTAACCAAGAAATTGAACTGTACAACAGCTAGAGTGAAGGTTGCAATGGTTTTGAGACTCCCCGAGGGGCCAGTGACACAGCTCTGGGGCAGGTGCTTGCCACCAAGCTGGAGGACCTGAGTTGGATCCTTGGGAGAGCCAACTCCTGAAAATTGTACCCTGACCTCCACAAGTGCACTGTGGCAAGTACACACACACACACACACACACACACACACACACACACCCCACACATAATAATGACTAAAAGCATTTAAAAACAAAAGACTTCCTGTGGCCCAGTAATGTCTTCTGGTCATCTATCTCAGGGCCAAAGGAGGGCTGAAATTTGTTACAGAGCACACTTACAACTTATTAAGGCCTTTCCAGCCCGGTAGTATTTGTGTCCTGCCCATGGGTAGGCAGTATTGCTATTCCTGTCCCAATGTCCTAGCAGAGGAGCTACAGTTTAGAGAAAAGTTACTGGCCAGCAGGGAGGCGGGCAGCATGGGTCAGAGTCTGGCGTTCTGTAGGATCAACATGATGAGTGCTATTATTTAAATTAACTACTGTATGCTGGGGACCTGCTGAGGATGTCAAATGGCTATTTTTCCCAACACTTGGATACCATTATCTATGACATTTTACCTGAAGAAATGAATCTCAAGCATTTAAGAAAACAGCATGTAATCAGTAAGTGGCAGATCTGGGATTTGAACTCAGACCTTTTATGCTGTGGGCTTTCAATAATCAAATCTTGTCCTTGCCAACATTCTGGGGTTGTTCACCACTGTCCAGTTCTGGGGTGATACAGGAATGCATTTAGAAATGCAAGGTCTTGGATTTTCTATAAACAGTGTCATTTGCTTTAATAATTAAAACAAAAGGACCACAACCAGCTCATTAAGTCTGTGGTCTCATGCATATTCAACAATGCCTGAAAACTTCAGGTAGTGCCGAATCCCTAAATACATACTGCATTTTCCCCTTACTAAGTTCTTACAATAAAACTTAGCTTATAAATTACCATAAGAGATGAGAAGCAGCAACTAATAAATGAAATTACAATAGCTCACTGCAATACAAGGTCAATTGCTTATTTCTAGGATTTTCCATGTAATATTTTTGAGCTGGGGGGTGATTCTGATAACTGAAACCTCAGATAAGGGGAGACTAGCTTACCTATGATGAGGTAATATTTCTGTTTACAAGGAACATAATATGGAGAAGAAAATAGTTATTACATGAATGTCCAGGAGAGGTCAGGTGAGCTCAGTCTTTAGTGACCAGCTGTGAACGTCCCTAGACTGGGAACCACTGAGACAGGGAACTTCCTTTATACAGCTAGGCTCAGAAGCTGAGCTGCAGGGGAGAATGTCTGACTTCAAGATGAAAAGGATAAAGTCCTGAGGCATGGTCATTTCCCAAGACCAAACAGACCCGTGGCCACACAAAACAAGCACCTCAGATATTTCCAGTCACACCCCATGGGGACAGACCCCCAAGTGAGGGGAACAGTGAGGATGGTTCCCCCACACCTGACGGTGCCTATACTCACTGCCAGGATAGCACGGTCCCTTTCCACAAGATCGGCCAGCTGGTGCAGCAACTGGCCTCGCCTCAGGGCATCCAGCTGGCGCCACGGTGAGCCCCTCTGGAAGGCAGCTTGTGCGGCCTCCACAGCCTTGTCCACATCGGGCTGCATGGCAAAACAACAGAGAGAGTGTGTCACTTTTCATGCAACCGCAGTCTGAGGGCACAGAAAACAGCAGTTGTCTTGCTGTGGAGCCAAGGAAGGAGGGGCAGCCCGGCTTCCAGAAACAAGTTTTTAAATCCTTTGGATGACTGGGGTCTTCCAAGTACTTTTTTCTTTACATGATAAGTCTTTAAAAATATTTCTGTAATGGCCAAGTATTAATGTCTTATAGAGTCGTTGACTTCAAATGTTTTTCTTGATGACCCAGTTCTAAAGGACTTCCCAGGGCAGTGCAGTGATAGCTGAGCTGGCTTAAGTGTTTGCTGTGACAGCCTGAAGATCCAAGTTCAATCCCCAGGACCCACAGTGCAAACAGAGGAACAACTCCCCAAAGTTGCCCTCTGACCTCCCAGTAAACACAGGAGTGTCTGCAGGCACACGCACGTCACATACACACTAATAATAAATAAAATAAGTTGTAAAAAACTAAAAAGATTTACCATGTGTTAGCTCCATTTCAACACACACAGAGACCACCGCTTCCACACTAAATGTTGTACTTAAGGAAGAGTAACAACCACGGGTCTTTGTGTGGTGTGTGTGTGTGTGTGTGTGTGTGTGTGTGTGTGCTGAGAATTGAACTGAAGCCTTGCCATGTGCTAAACAAGCCTTCTACTACTGAGCCTTGCCCCTTGCCCCTGCCTGCCAGCTTTTAAAAGAACAGAAGCAAGATGTGTGCAGAGGAGAGCCAACTGTCCTCATTTCAGGAAAACAGGCTCTGAAGATCTGGTTGCTGATAGCAATGTCTCATCCTGCCCTGAGCCTGTCTCCCTAGGTGATAAGACAGGTAGCTGATGAGGACCCCAGTCAGGAGAGGCCTCAGCCAAGACCATCACCAAAGCCTTCACGGAATGAGGGGATGCTTTAGCAAGGGAAATGTTGGACACTGTGGTTCTTGTCCTGGTTCCCAAGAGGAGGTCAGGACCTCTTCTGCTGCAAGGGATGGGTAGCCTGTCTCTGGGTTTATGGAGAAAAATGTTTATCCAGGTGATGGAAGCAACCAGACCCTACCACTGGGTTCCTACTTTCCTCCTGGGGTTTATCAGTCATACACCCCCTCTGTCAGGCCCTCCCAGCTTCCTCCCACCCCACCCCCACTTCTTTGCTTTTCAGTGTAAGGGATCACAGGGAGCTGGGGCTATGCTTGTGAGCCACTGGGCTTCCTTTCCCATACAAAAGCTGTCACTTGTGGAAGAAAATCCCAGTCTTCTTCACCCACTTGGCCTCACCAATGTACACAGTAAGAGTCTGTGTGTATCAGCAGGTGTGGTGGCACACACCTCTAACCTCAGCGCTTGGGACGTGGAGGCAGGAAGATCAGGAGTTTGAGGCAAGACTGTGCTAAATAGTGAGAACTGTCTCAAGAAACCAAGGCCTGAGGGTGTTGCTCAGCACTGGAGTGCTTACCCAGCATGCAAAGAGCCTTGGGGGTTGACCTGCAACACTCTGCTCCATGCCTCCCCAATATCTGTAGTCCCAGGAAGATCCCCAGAAGCCTAGGAATTTTCCACTAGCCTGGAAAATAGTGCAAGATGGTATCTCAGAATGGGGGGGTGTGGTAAAAAGGAAGAGCAATGGTGAGGGGAAGGGATGGAACAGAAGGGAGGAAAGGTGATGGAAGGAAGAGAGGAAGAGAAAAAGGAAAAGGGGAGGGATGAAGGGAGACAGGAAAGGAAGGAGAAAGGAAGAAAGGCAGGCAGGCAATCCATCCAGTACCCTCGTGGTTAAGCAGACACTCGTTTTTCTTCCCTCTGTAGGAGGTTGTTACCCTAATCATCTTTTCTTTAGAGGCCCTTCTATTTAAAACGTATTTTATGACCTTGAAAGGTAAAAAAAAAGATACATGCAGAAGTCGCTTCATGTCTGTGTGATAAAGGAGACCTTATACCAGGCAAAAGGTCTACCCAGACTACAGTCTCATATGATTGTGTGCATGTCCACTAGCAGAGAAACCGAGCAGTAATGTGACATAATCACACCCCCCAGGACCATTTGGGAGCATCCTCCCCACCCTTTGAAACCCCCCCTTTTAAAGTGTCTCCTGCCAGAATGCTACTTTTGGTGAAACATACCAGCAGGAAATGCCTTCTTGGGAGATTCTTTAATGCTTACAGGTTGAAATAATTGAGAAAAAAACCCTTCCCTTTAGCTGTGTGATGAAGACAGCTGAGGTCATCCTCAGAGATGGAGAAACATCCATCAAAGACGGTGACTCTGCGCAGAGGACCATCTGTAATTGATCCCATGTTAGGCTGTGTTTGAGCTGCACATACCGACTGGCTGCTGTGGTTGCCCTGGCCCTACCTGGAGGTGGGCCCATGTGTCTTACAGCCAAGCCACACAGCTTCCTCAGCCTTCGTTTATCTCTAATCGGATTACTTAGAGAAGGGGGGAGGGACCCACCTTGTCGCCTTCTTCCACCTCACAGATTTTCTCTAGAGTTGAAGGGTTATATGTGGCAAACTTTTTCCCACTCTTGGACTCGTGCCAGTCGTTGTTGATAAATATCTAAGTGGGAAAGGAAGTGCAACAAATTAGGTTTAAATCAAAATCATACAATTTCAACATGCTAAGGATCTTAGGTAATGTCTTGTCCGCCTTCTTCCCTGCCCCCTCCCTTGGATGTTTTGTAGATGAGAACTGGAGTGGGGGACAGAACACAGAATCTCTCGAAGCAACCAATGGGGAATGGCCTCACAGAACCAATTGGACATAATTAATCCAAAGCCCTTTTGAAGTTATTTTTCTAAATTGCATCTTCATTTGTAGCAATAGCATGTATTTGCCAAGGGACTGCTGAATGCAGTGGTTACAAGGAGCATGCACATGGAAGCTTGCATGGTGGGGAGACTTGTGTACATACGATCTGCCAGGTCCTGAAAGGTTGTAAGCTCTACACACCCTTTCCTCCTTCCAAGCAAGACCCCTAGGACCTAGGTTTATTCGAGATCTTCCCATGACTCCTTAGGCTTCCTTAAGCCGCATGATGGCATGGTCTCTGCATCCCCTTTACAGAGTTTGGAACCTTCCTGGGGTGTTTTACAAAGCCAGTGTAGGAACACAGAGTTAAGTATCTGGGTTAGAAACTTTTAAATTATGTTAAAAGTATAGTAAACTGCCATTTATATCCAGAAATAAGTAGCTCACAAAACATTATCTCATAGTGGCCTCAAGTATCCAAACATAACTAAAAATATAGTATTTAAAAAGCGTTTATCAAATCAGTGCACTGAGACCCATTCTACTTACTGGGACTTTTTTCTAAGCTTTAATCACCTTTAGAAGTTGTGGCTTTGGAGAGCTGGAGAGATGGCTCAGTGGTAAAGAGCATTAGCTGCTCTTCCACGGTCCCCTGGTTCAATTCCCAGCCCCCATGCAGCAGCTCAGAACTGTCTGCATCAACATTTCTACAGGATCTGACACCCTCAAACAGACATACATGCAGGCAGAACACCAATGCCCATGAAATAAAAATTAAAAAAAAAAGATGTGGTTTTTAGAAAGAACCAGAACCGGGGACCCATAGCATACAAAAGCAGGCTCTGATGGCACAGAAGGCCCATCAGCCACCAGGGCAGCCACAGTTTCTGTAGTTTCTGGAACCTCATTCATGCAGCCCACCCACAGAAAAGGTTGTTATGTGCCTGCCTGAATTCTATAGCCTAAAGCATATCATATAACTATGCAAGTGAGTAAAATGATGATAATAATATTTTTTCACTGCATTTTTCAATGATGGAGGTCGATTCATTTGGGACAGGACCATCCCCTGCTGATAGTAGAGCAGCCATGCCCTGAGAGTGTGTCTTGGTTGCCATTGTTTCAGACTCTCTTGTATAGGTTTTGAAGCAGAAGGAAACCAACCCAGGCTACCTCTGGAGTGAACCTCAAACATCAAGCAGGCTTTGGCCAGGCAGGTGAGCAGAGGCTAATCCAGACCCTCAATATGGAGTTTGGAGCTGAGAGAATGAAGTTCCAGTAGGGCATGCCCATCTAAATTCTGGAAGCTTGGAGCCTTCCATGTGAGGCCAGGCCCCCAGGGAAGCATGCGAGGAAAAGGCCTGGCTACAATTACAGGTTTATTCTTCCAGCTGAAACCAAATCCAAGAGTTCACTTTTGCCATGCAGCAAGTAATTACTCGGCAACAGCGAGAAATTAATAAGCAGGGAAGGAGTTAGTGCGGAGAGGAAAGTGAAGCCAGGAGCAGGCCCATTTGAAGGAAGATGAAATTTCGTTGGTTAGATAATAGAGACTGTCAGAGAAAATTGCTGATTCTAGGTCCTTCCTGGTATCAATTCCAAGGAGGAGGGAAAATTGCATCTCAGAGTTTCTCACTAAGCAAAGCTGCTTTCCTTATCCTACTAGTAAGTGATCCCATAAGTGGTTCCCACTGCTGGTTTTCTTTCCACCAGAGCAACTCATAAATACAAATGAAGAAACAGTCCTGGGCGGGGCCCACCACTGATGCTGGATGAATTGTGACTCATAAGGTGCTAGCTGACAGGCCTTCGTTGACGTGTGAACCGGTAGGAACAGGGCATTATTGAGATATAAAGCTGAAAAGATACTATGGGATGTAAATAGAATTCATATTTCACCAATGGACCTGTAAGGCAGTGCCTGAGAACGGTAAAGGTGATGATCACAAAAGAGAATGCTGCTGGTATTATTTCCAGCAACTTCCACTGGACTCAGCTAAATTCAAAATGACTATATTTCCAGCAGATTTGGGGGATTTTCACTTTTCATGAAATAGATGGTAAAATTTTGTATTTTGATGAATTAAAACACTTGAAAGAGAACCTCTGCTACTAGAAGTGGGTCCCTGAAATGGAAGGGGCTGCCATCCTCTAGGATCAGTACAGAGATGTGCCCTCCCCCCCCCAGGACCCTCCCTCTCCTCACCAGAATCACTCCACATGAACCTGTGCCCAATATACAAATCTGAGGACAAATGAAGGAGCTTTGATAAAATCACCCTTCTGAACGCTGGTAGATAGTCCTGCCACAGCCTGGGCTCAAACCGGTCCTCCATGTTGGAGAAGCACAGTGAGTCAGGAAAACTGCGCACACCCTTGCTAGCTGGAATGCTTCACAGTCTACCATTTGCCCTGGACCTGGACTCTGCTCTTCAGCATCTTTGACTCCCTTCCTTAGCCAGGGCACCCTGATGGTACGAGGCTCACCTTGGCTTTTAATTGTTATGAAAGGGCTCTGCAGAGGTGCGCAAGGAGCAAGGAGGAAGCAGGCAGAGCCAATAAGGGGTGGAAGGTGTAGCCAGACATCTCCTGGAACCTTCCAAGGATCCCAGCTCTCAGTCCCCTGGTTTCCGCAGCCTCCATCAGACACACCAGCGCCTTCAACCCACAAAGTGGGAGGGGGCTGGGTCAGGACAGCATCGCTCCTCTGAGGACCTCCCAGGGCCCTCTCCATAAAGGCTGCATAGATACCTTTAAAGTGTTCAGGGATTCGCCTGGAAAGAGACAAACTTTTCCTGCCCTGTAGCTAGACAGTTGTGGGAGGACTCAATTTATTAAGCAAAGGGACAATATTGTTCATTTTCTGGTGGCTGTGGTGTTTTTACATAATTGTAAAAACAAAACGAAATGGCCACCACCAGAACAAGAATCCCATCTCAGTGTGGGTCTAGAAAACGAAGCCATTATTCCTCCCGTTTGTAGAGCTGGTGTTGGAATTCTCCCTCTAAGGCTGATACCATTGAGGAAACTGCATTTTAAAAACTTCCAGTCCTACCAGGGCTGTGCCTGTCTTGATTATAGAGCCTTCCTTGGAAAAACAGCTCATGTAAATGTCATGCAATGTATACGTCGGCATAGCCAACTTTGGGGACTCAGTGCCAACCGATCAGGGTCTGAAGGCCACACGTAGCGGCCTGCCGCTTTCGCCTTTTGATTAAAATTATTCCAAAAGGATAATTGCTACTTTTGAAAATAAAATTTATGAGGGTGGTTTCTAAGCATTGTGACAGCTGGAGTCAGGAGCTATGGATAAGATGTGCAAATAAGATGGGTTGAAGTTTCCAGACCTGAAGCCAAAAGCTGCCCTGGATCTGAGTCCCTCAGATGCTCTGCATCCAGCAGGCACAGAGCAGCGCATCCGCATCCAAGAGTTTACAGTTGTTCTTCCCAGACGACATCACCATTGTCCCTGCAGCTCACAGCAGGTATCTCATCACTCTGCCTGTTCCAGCCTCCCGGGAAAGGGCAGACGCCAATACTCCCGGGCACTATCTGTGGCCTTGTGCAACCTGCAGCTCAGCTTCCCTAGGCCCAGGCCTTGAGTGTTCATATCAGTGGTCTCCATCTTCCCTCTGCAGCTGGACTGGTAAACTAGATTTAGGCTGAGCACACATAAGGGGCCAGATCCTTCTCTCATTGCCCAGGAAGTTCCGAATGGGGCTCATACTTGAAACTCATTTTGGGTCCTCAGGTACCTCTAGCGCTCCCACAGCCTAGGGCCTTCAGACCAGAAATCCCTCTGTAAAGAAGTCACCGGGCACAGTGTCACTGTTACAAGCAAACAGCACCCAAAGTGGACGATGGCCCACCCAGGCACATCGTGGCCGCTGCAGGCTGCAACTCTGCAGCTTCGGCGCTTGCGGAGTTGCACTCTTGGTCCTCAGGTTTGAGACTTAGGTCACCTAGGCAGAGGCGTGGGTTCTCACTCTGGGTGCCCCCCCCCAAAAAAGTGAAGTTTCCGAGGATCCGGACCCCACCAGTTCCCAGTGGACTTCCAACAGAGTTGTCTCCTGGTCCCTGCTCTCCCTACCGGACTGCTCTGCGCGGCCGAGGCCGTGAGTCGAAGGGGAGCCCTCCTTACCTTGGTGAACTTAACCTCCAAGTTGCGGATGGGGCGCGGCAGTGCAGGCTGTTTCCCATCCGACTGTCCATTTTCCACAGCCCCGTTAGTGGTGGCCATGGCTGGTCTGCGCTCCACGGCCCGAGGAGTCCGAGTCCCCGACGCACCGGCTCTGCCTGGGCGGTGCGCAGCCTGCTCCGGGTGACAGCTCCGCGCCTTTATGCAGCGCCCCACGCCTCCCGCCCAAGGGGGCCGCCTAATTGGCTGCAGGAAGGGAGGGCGGGCGCCGGAGGGGAGGAGGGGACCCGGCCGCCGCCGCCCTCACCCCTCCCGCTGTCCCTGCCCCTGCAGGAGCAGGATGGTCCCGGTCTGACCTCGGCTGCGGCGGGATCCCTCTGCGCGTTGCAGGGAGGCCACGCCGCGGGTTTCTGCAGCCCTGGAGGCTGCCCTTCCGCGAGCTCGGAGAGCGACTTTAGGGCCGGGAACTCTCAGGATTCGGACACCAGTAAAGGGAGGGAGCTGGCGGGCAGCGATCGCGGTAACAGGCCCCTCTCCCGAGGCACCTGTGGTCCCTGCTGTTGCCCAACTTTGGCGGGAGTGAGCGCTCGGGCCCAACTTTGGCGGGAGTGAGCGCTCGCTCTGGTGCCCTATGAGGAGCCCGAATCTGGACGTCGTGCGGCCACCACCCATCTCTGCCTCGACTTGGGGTCCAATAGCCAGACGCCCGAGGTCCATCCTGCCCAAGCTAGAGCAGCCAGCGACTGGAGGTCCACTCTGAGTCGGGCTGGCAGGGAACTTCTTCACACCCAGGACATAAGGCAAAAGCTAAACAGCTCTTAGGCACCGCACTTGGGAGCCCTGTGGCTGCTGGTCCTCTGGTCTTCATAAGCACACACCACTTTCAGGTCCAGCCCAAGGGGGACAATTATTTAATATTCGAAACGCATAAATTAAATCTCCGTCTTATAAACGAAAACAACAACCAAAACAAAACAACCCAAACACAAAAGACGTGAGATCTTTGCAGCTATTTGCTTTCAGATGGTTACATTGCTCAGAACTGCTAAGAAGGAGTAGGGATGAAGGCATGTCCAACTCCTCTTATTTTGCCATTTAGAGAATGCTCCATTCATCGCAGCAACTAGTCTTAAGCCCCGTCTGGAAAGTGACTCACCCCGATGTAAGATGGGTTCATCAGAGTTAGGCTTGAACTCCCCACAGGAGAGGTGGTTTAATCCTCAGAGAAGCTCAGCCATGTTATTCTGTGAGAAATCCCACCAGAGTCAGTGAAACGGCTTTCTCTCTCTGTTGTAGGCACTTTGTGTCCTTTTCTGTTCTTAGTGTTCGTCCTCATTGTAGTGACACTAGGCATCCTTCTGAATAGCAGAATAAGCTGTGAACCTTTGGAAAGGCCCCATTTGAGCTCTGTTTTTCTGATGGTGGAAAGGTCTTCTGCTGTTATAAGGTTAAGCATGAAGGTGAGACTAGAGAAGGGGGACTGTGGGTCTCCAAATGAGTGAGGACTGACAGACATCTGAGCATCTGCCTTTGACACTGGGGTAACCAACATTCTCCCCTCATCTCCACTGCCACTTTCTGGGCTCTCCACCTGTGTGGCTGGCCCCATGACTCTCACCTTGGTCTATTGAAAACATCTGGGATGTCTCCCAATAGGTGTCCTGGATTCTGAGTCCCATTGTGTGAGTGTTTTTGAAACAGTGAAAGACCATCGTCCCCCTGTGTAGTGGCCAAGGACCAAAAGCTGGCATTTGTCACAAGCCTATCAGAACTCCCATCCCACAAAGTTTACCTGAGATCCTTCCTGGGTTATCAGTTTGTCAGATCTTTAAGAAAATGAAAACTCCGACAATGTACAGAGGATGTTGTATTTATTAAATAATTGCTGCACTGATGGGGGAGGCGAATGGGATTGGGAAGAAGAACTCTGCTCAATAGTTGGTACGGCTGGCCACAGAGTAGATAAAGCAGGTAACTTCAATTCACACCCCAAGACTGCCTCCTGACCCGTGGTGGCCAGTCGAAGAGCCTTTGAGTCAGTGGCAATGCTGTAGACAGCTCACCATTGACTCTTGTTGATTCCAGTGTGACCTTGAGGTCAGAGCAGAACACTCAACTATAGACCTTCCCTGTAGTAGGCAGTTCCCAAAGAGCAGGTGGGGGTGGGGGGGTGAGCTTGGCTTTGGGCTTGTCCTGACTGGAAGGCTCTTCCTCCACTCCCCTCAGCAGGCAGGGAGAAGCTGAGATGCTCAAGTTCCCATTTTACAGGTGAGCAAACAGAGGCAGGTGGATACTTGCCCTGGACATCACTGTCTTGGAGGCACCAAAGGCAAACTGTGGGAGCGGGTGGTGCAGGGTGTGAGGACAGGTTCCTCTTACATTTTGCTGTCATATTTATTCACCCAAGGATATGCCTGTGTCCCAAGGTGACCCCATGTCACCTGCTATAGTTAAAGTAATAAGTGCTTTATAGGATGATAAAATAATGGGATTGTCCCTTCTGGCCATGTCTACTAGGAACCAAAGTTATGGCCTTGGCCTCAAGGACATGGTCCTAGGGATTAGAGAAGGACAAGGACTCATTACTTTGCACAGTGGGTCACCAGGTGTCTGGGAGCTTCCTGAGCATCGTGGTTGGTAAAGGCCCAGCCTCTCTCCTCCATCCCTGCCTCAAACCCAGCTGTGTGCTCATGAGTTGGACACTGGAGCTCTGAGCTTTCATTTCCTTTCCTGTAACCCCCTTCCCCCTTCCCAGCACTTGGAAAGGCTCAAGCAAGATAGCACTGGATAAACTGTAAAGTGCTGTATATGTGTCTGTTCTTAATTTTCCCATTATTCCACCTAGCAGACGTTTCTCCTCAGAAGGTGAATGCTGCCCTCATTTCTTCCTGGCTCAAGGGGCTTTCCCAGCCTACACTTTCCTGCTAATTTCATTGTTTTTGTATTCAGGTTGGTGGTGCTGGCACTGTCTGAGGCTTAGCTTCTTGGTGGGTGTGTCATGTGATCTGGGACTATGCTGAAGGCTTGTTTGTGTGGTAAACATTTGATAGAAATAAGCACCATGAGGGCAGTGTGGAGAGATGGTTGTGTTCCCAGCACCCACATGACAGCTCACAACTGTCTATAACTCCAGTTCCAGGGGATCTGATACCCTCATCTGATACCTTCGGGCATTGCACATGTGTGGTGCACATATGTTCTCACAGGTAAAGCACTCATACACATATAAATGAATACATAAATAAATGGTTTTACAAAGCATGGGGACAGGAGGAATGACTCAGTCATTAAAGTGCTTGCTGCGTGGGCAGGAGGACCTGAGGTAGCTCCTCAGCACCTGTGTGTAAAAGATCTTCATGGCAGCATGTGTAATTCCAGCTCTAAATGGCTAGATGGAAACAGGCCCATTCCTGGAGCTCACTGGCCAGCCAATCTCTCTGAAGTGGTGAGTGACGAGAAAGACATCTGATGTTAACTTCTGGCCTCCACACAGATATACATGAAGGCAAAAACCGAGATAAAAGAGAGAACAGATAATGTGTCTCACATCGCAACCTAATTCCATTTTCCAACTATGTTTGTGGGAGATGTTGAAATGTATAATAACGTAGTTAATAATGGGTAGGACAGAACTTACACTTGATTTAACTTTATTTCAAGTCTGGTGTCTGAGCCTCTTCTGAGGGTCCCAGGCATCCCTGAACTGTCGCTCCTTGCCCAAACCACTCATCTCACTCAGAGACTAGAAGTCTGACCCAATCCAAGTCCATGGTGTGTGCTCTGAGAGGCTTTCCAGAGAGCTAAGCTTTTCCGACAGGAGGGTCTTTGATCAAAGTGAAGGCAGTGTGATTGTTAGGTGGTGGCTAGTAGCTCAGGACAGATAACCCAATCTCAGTTTTCTTGGCTATAAATGGGTTGGCAGGTGCCCCAGAACTAAGGCAAGGTTGATTTCATTATGAGTGTTTGTTTACCATTATCATAGAAGCATTGTCTATATTTTTGTGGGAACTTCCCAGTGTTCATTTGAACAGGCAGCTTCTTACCATGCAAATTTTATAAATTGTGATTCATTAAGTCCTCCTCCCCCATGTTACAATTTCGTGGGAGCATGCAAATGAATCTGTTTTCCTATGTTCTAATTTGCTTTTTCTGTGACAAAAATACTCTGATCAAAAGCAACTTAGGTGAGTGGGGAAAGGGCTTCTTTGGCTTATACTTCCAGTCCACAATTAGTGGTTCATTCAATGGCGTATCCTCAGCTTTCATATAGAGCCAAGATTCACTTCCATAGGGATGGTGCTGCCCATAGTGGGCTGAGCCCTCACCCGTCATTGGTCAATGAAGACAGTCTTTCACAGAAATGGTCATGATGAGAAAGGCTGGATCTCAGCTCATACTTCCAGGATCCATTGGGCCTGTTTTCTTCTGTCTGTGGTGATGTATCATATCATGGCAGGAACAGATGGCAGAGTTCACCCCACACTGACTGGGAAACAGAGAGAGAGAGAGAGAGAGAGAGAGAGAAACAGGAAGTGGCCAGGGCCCTTTAAGACACACTCCAATGACTAAATAGCTTTCCACTAGGCCCTGCCTACTAATGGTATCACTACAGGATGAAAACCAAAGCTGTAACACATGGGTCTTTGGAGTCCATTACATATTCAAACCACAGTAACCACGATTATGAGAGTGAGAAGCAGTCCATGAAGAAGGAAGATGCATTGACTAACACTAGCAAGACAAAGACTGAAGGGCTACCCCATTGCCTCTTTCAGGCACTTTCTCCTCAACCCTGCTTGCCCTTCTTGACTCCAAGGAAATGTCTTCCACATAAATACACATTAACCTGAGGTGAATCAAGCCCCAATCAGGCAGAAGCAAACAGAGAACCCATCATATAAAAACAAAGAGAACACATCACAATGTCTGTGGGTCTGGCCTTTATGAGACCTCACACACACACAGTACAGGGCTTCTGGAACTTTCCTGTCTTCCAGTGGTTAGGAGTTGTGACAAGGCCAGGAAAGAACATGCGGGTAAGGATGACAGCCGATTGACCTTCCAATGGTCTCGCCTTTCTGGCCATAAGAACTCTACATTAT